GTGGCGGGGGCCTCCTGAGGGATGGTGTGGGTGCTGTGGGCTCCTAGCAGCCCATCAAGGGACGAAGGAAACCCGGAGGGTCTCCAAGTCTGGGCAGTCCGGTTCCGGTCCAGAGGCCAGGCCCCCGGGGCGGATGGTGGGCACGGCCCTGAGAGAGAACGCGCAGCCTCTCCCCTCTCCAGTGGACGCCGAAGACTCCCTCGATGAAGGACCGGGGGCCCTGGTGCTGGAGAGTGACCTGCTGCTAGGCCAGGATCTGGAGTTTGAGGAGGAAGAGGAAGAGGAGGAAGGTGACGGCAGCAGCGACCAGCTCCTGGGCTTCGAGAGAGACTCCGAAGGTGAGTTTTGGGGACTTCCCTGGACCCAGCCCCTCGGGAGGCGGTGAGGTTAGACGTGAGCTAGATGCTCCCCTTGCCGACTTGTCCAGTCAGCTCCATCACTGTGCGGAGGTGGAGCTCGGGGGCCCGGGCCAAAGGCGGTATGAATAGGACAGTGGAGGAGTCACTGGTTAAAAGTAAACGTCCTTTCTGTAACCTTGTCCCACTCGGAGCCCGTGCCTTAGGCGAGTTTACTTCCGAGAGGTTCGGGAAGGAACCTGGAGCTGGTTCTTCATGCCCAGTCTCCTCACCTGCAGCTTAAGCCCCTTTTGTGTGAGGTTCTGGCCGCTGCCTGAGACCTCCCACCGCACCCTCACTTGTGCACTGCCCCCCAGTCCTGCCCTGTGTGAGTCACTGCGGGAACCCACCTGAAGCGTCCTCCAGGCTTACAGGTGGCATTACATACATTACTTCATTTCTGTTTTCCCCTAAATTTTGCCTCACTCTTGTTAATAATCAGATCCATGTTAAAAGAGGCCTTACTAATACAGAGTTTAGAAAAGTTCCAGGCCTCTTCCAGGTGTATGTTTTCTTTTGTATCCTAAGAATCAGTTAATTATATTATCATTGATTCATTTCAGTCTGTGGTCCCTTGTGGTCCTTGATCTTTTCTCATTAAGTGGAACTAGGCACTAGCTAGTCCCGACACAGCAGTAGACATTCATATTTAGTTTTCAGGATCACTGAAGGAAGAGAAAGGTGGGGCCAAGCACAAAGGATGACCGTGAGTGAGAAAGGGTTTGGCGTCTAGTCCTACCTAATGTTGATGTCTCTTCTCGTCTGTCTCACCAGGAGACTCTCTGGGGGCCAGGCCTGGGCCTCCCTACGGGCTGAGTGACGACGAGTCTGGGGGTGGCCGGGCACTAAGTGCTGAGAGTGAAGCTGAGGAGCCATCCAGGGGCCCAGGGGAGGCTGGGGGTGAGAGGCCAGGCCCAGCCTGCCAGCTGTGTGGGGGGCCGACAGGTGAGGGGCCGTGTTGTGGGGCAGGAGAGCCGGGTGGGGGGGCCCCGATGCCCCCACGGCTGCTATACTCATGTCGCCTCTGCGCCTTCGTGTCCCACTACTCGAGCCACCTGAAGCGGCACATGCAGACACACAGCGGGGAGAAGCCGTTCCGCTGTGGCCGCTGCCCCTACGCCTCAGCCCAGCTCGTCAACCTGACACGACACACTCGCACCCACACTGGCGAGAAGCCCTACCGCTGTCCCCACTGCCCCTTTGCCTGCAGCAGCCTGGGCAACTTGAGGAGGCATCAACGCACCCACGCAGAGCCCCCCCCTCCTCCCTGCCCGACCTGTGGCTTCCGCTGCTGTGCTCCTCGTCCAATCCGGCCTCCCAGTCCCACAGAGCAGGAGGGGACAGGGCCCCGGCGACCTGAAGGTAAGATGCCAGGGACCACAGAATCTGGGGCACAGGTGGGGGGCCCTGGGGTCCTTGGATTCACCCGGTCTCATTGTTCCCACAGATGCTCTGCTGCTTCCAGACTTGAGCCTCCACGTGCCGCCAGGTGGTGCCAGCTTCCTGCCGGACTGTGGACAACTGCGGGGTGAAGGGGAGGGCCTTTGTGGGACCGGGTCAGAACCACTGCCAGAGCTGCTGTTCCCTTGGACCTGCCGAAACTGTGGACAAGAGCTGGAGGAGGGCGAGGGTAGTCGGCTGGGAGCCGCCATGTGTGGGCGTTGCATTCGAGGAGAGGCTGGAGGTGCCAGTGGGGGGCCTCAGGGCCCTAGTGACAAAGGCTTTGCCTGTAGCCTCTGCCCCTTTGCCACTCACTATCCCAATCACCTGGCCCGGCACATGAAGACACACAGTGGTGAGAAGCCCTTCCGCTGTGCCCGCTGTCCCTACGCCTCTGCTCATCTGGATAACCTGAAGCGACACCAGCGCGTCCACACAGGAGAGAAGCCGTACAAGTGCCCCCTCTGCCCCTATGCCTGTGGCAACCTGGCCAACCTCAAGCGTCACGGTCGCATCCACTCTGGGGACAAACCTTTTCGGTGTAGTCTTTGCAACTACAGCTGCAACCAGAGCATGAACCTCAAACGCCACATGCTGCGGCATACGGGCGAGAAACCCTTCCGCTGTGCCACCTGCGCGTACACCACGGGCCACTGGGACAACTACAAACGCCACCAGAAGGTGCATGGGCATGGTGGCACAGGAGGACCAGGCCTCTCTGCCTCTGAGGGCTGGGCCCCACCTCACAGCCCCACCTCTGTTTTGAGCTCTCGGGGTCCGACGGCCCTCAGCACCACTGGTAGCCGGGCTCTCCATACAGACTCACCCTGAACTAGGTCCTTCTCCAGAGCTATAGGATTAGCCCTGACCCTCCTGTAATGGACCAGAAGCCACCTTCTCTTTCCTCCCCCGCTGGCCAGGGGCTCCAACAGACTAACTTAGGCACACTATGGACCACGGGCCTTGCCTTGACTGGTGCACTTCATGAGCTCAGTGAGAAGGGCCCTGTATATACACCTCCACTGCTCCCAGGGGCTGTGGAGAAACTGGCTGGGGGACTGCCCAGCCTCCCACCTGTTTATTTAACTTATTTCAGTACTTTATAATAAAGGAAACACTAACAAAGCCATGTCTATGCTGAATTGGCAGTGGCAAGCACAGCTCAGCCTTCCTCTTAGCACAGCAGTCCATGCTATGATGGGGGAAGCAGGGGCAGAGAGGGAACCAGAGGTAGGCAGCAATCAGGCTGAGTTTAATGAGGGGAAGGTGGGCCGGACCATACACAGACCTCTGCCCATCCCCTTGGCCCATGGCCCTGAGGAGCCAGAAGCTGCTGGGGGGAACTATGGTTCCTCCCCCAGGCAGGTAACCATGGTCCCATGGACTTTGTGCAAAATACTAAATGCTAATTTGGCATTGAGGGCCAGCTCTGAAAAGGGGATAATCCTTTGTGCAGCCAGCCCAAGGGGGAAGGGAAGGTTAGGAGGCCCCTGGCCAAGAGGAGAAAAGGGAAAGGTAAGAAGGAAAAGACCCCTGGGTTTGGGGGATCAGGCACAGGGCAAGTTTTTGAACATTCCTCTGGGGTAGAGGGCAGACATCCTAGCACTGGAGATCACAGATCCTCATCTCCAATGCCCTCGAAGGCGAAATTGCCATGGACGTCACTGGCACTGGCATCTGTGCTGGGACTGCCAATTCCCCGCAAGCTCACGGCACTCAGCTTGCTCTGTAACAAAGGCAGGGTGGGGTCAGAGGGCTCAAGCCTCCCTGAAATCCCCCTACAAACACCCACTTCACCAACCCTCATGGGGAACTCACTGAGAGTTTGACCATGGACTCCCGGCTGGCATCAGGTGACTCCTGGGGAAGAGGCAGAGATGTCAGAAAAAGGCTTCTCATATCCCCGGGTATGAGAAGCCTGCAGCCCAGGTACTGACACAACACTTACAAGCAGCGGTGGGGATTTCACTGCTTGCTGGCTGTCTGAGCGTCTCAGGGTGCCCCCCACCCGCCGGCGCAGCATCTGAGGATGGAGATACAAGGCACTGATAAGGGCAGGACCACTCCCTTGGGAATCCCCAGCCCTTTCCCCTCCCTCACACCTGGTACAAAAGGCAAGGCAAGGTCCACACTTGCTACTTACCTTCCTGATACTGCCTCCGGATTTCTTCACCATCAGTTCATCTACCATGGACTGCAAACAGATGCTCATCATGATAGCCTGAGGGGGAAAGGAGAGCTCAGCCCAGAGTTGCCATCCTGAGCTCGGTACCCCTAAGACAAGGACTCCCACTCACATGCAGTCCTGGAAGCCCTAGACTTGGGTATCTAATAGAGGCGGCGCAATGGGGTCCAGAGGCCTGAGGGTGGGCTCACACCTGGGGGCTGGTGATGGTGACCCACTGGAGCCGGTCCTTGCTCATGAGGTATTCAAAAGCCAGTTCCAGACGCACCTCACCCCGGCCCCGGCCCGGGCTGTTTGTGCCTCCGCTGGGCAATG